GGGCCTCTTCAAACCATTCGAGAAACTCTTCTACTCTAGCCATTACCCGTCGCAGGAGGTCCTCTTGTGTTGGTTCTGCCGGTGGCGATGCGACGAATCTTCTCAATGAGAGCAACGTTGTAACCGCTATCCCGGCCATCAGACCGGGGCACTCGCTCAGATAACCCTTTCCTGCGTCCAGCATGTACCAGAAAATTCCGAGTGCATCTTCTGCGCAGAATAGATCAACCAGATAGGGCCGAAGTGCGTGGATGATCATTTCAAATGGATAATCTCGCAGCATGACAGGGCCGGCAACACTGATGAGGATCCTGACCTTTCGGATGACAGAGCAAGCGTGAAGAGATCCAAGGGCTGGATGAATGGAGTCCAACAATGCGCGACAAGCATAGGTTGCCAGAGCAGGGGTCCAGATGGTTGCTAGCTCGTATCCACTACGCTTGCAAATAAAATCAAGCTCATCCATGAGATAACGAGCCCTGAACGACGGCTGCTGGTTTGCAGGTAACACGGTGTTTGAGCAGCTCTTTTCAATGATAGACCTCAGAATAGTATGGGCCTCGCGAAAGTTGCTTTGCCTTTGGAGCGCTCTTTCAACTTGGTCGTATTGATCGAGTGTTTTGAAAAAGGTCGCTATGATTTGAGGGAACTGCCTTTCGACCAATGATATGAATCTATCTGCACCCAGTATCCTCTTCAATTGGTTCTCCACGCCCTTTGGTTGGCTTCCCTGGCTAGGAGGAATACTGATATCACGAGCAATGCTGTAAGCCTCTGCTTGATAGAAAGACGCGTCTAGAAGTTCAACGAACGGTGAGCCAGTACAAGCCGCGAGCTCTTCCGCCTCATGCTCATTCCAACGCATCATGACCTGGCCAACAGCCTCATCTTGCACATCAAGCAACATATCTTCGGTGCTAGCATATCCGAAAACACTGTAAGGTAATGAGGTTAAGGACTGGCCTTCTGTCCATGTGTAGATAATTTGGGAGCAAAAAAGACGAAAGAGCTCTTTGGCATCTTTGAGCCCAAGTATGTCTGCAACCTCTTTCATGCACTTCTCAGCATACCGTAGTGAGAGTGGAACATGAGCAGGAGTTTCGAACATGTGATAGATACTTCTGCGGAGTAGGGTGTGCCACACGGAAGCAAGGCGAGCCAAAATGAGAAGTCGAAGAGCGATTCCTTCAATCCAGTCCGGATCTCGAGGCAGGCTGCTCAACACATCACTGAATATGGCATCATGGTCGGTGAGAGGGAAATTGCCGAAAAGTTGAGGAATCAATTCACCAGCCCTAAACTTCACGGCAGCGTTTCCCTCCCGGAGTATGGTGAAGAGACAGGTACGGGGAGATGGGCTTGCTGGGCCACTTGTATAGGCAGAATTGTGGACAAGAATCTCTCCCAGAAGCTCCGTCATCGCAATAAGCACCGAGGGAGAAGCTCGCTTTTTGACGAGAAGTATGTTCACAAACCATGTGTATATGTCAGTCGCCGAATCAAAGAAATGGTCTTTTTCTTGCCTAGTCCATGATTTGACAAAGCTTTGCATCATACGGAGACACACAAGGTGAGAGTTTTCGCAACGTTCTAAACCGTAGGACTGAAGGCACTTCTCAGCGAGGTCCTCGAGTATGTTCAGCAAAGATTCGCGACTTAGGCCGGCACTGGCCTGATAGACATAGGGGAGGAAGTCCCGAGCAGACAAGATGTCAACCTCGTCGAGACTAGTCAAATACCTAACAATGTCCTCATTACTAGACAGTTGATCAGGAGAGGCTAAGTAGGCATATATCTTTTGGAAGCAAGACACCTGAACGGTAAGACAGCGCTGAAATGTGGCACCATCTGGGAGCAAGGGAAGTGCTTCTCGGTTCTTGTTCAGCATGCCTGTGATCTCTGCCAATTGGTCATAGTCTGTGAGCAATGGATCGTCCAATTCCATGGGTTCTTCTCCGCGAGAACCCAATATTTCTCTCTGTCGTTGTCGGGATTCTTCTAAGATTTCCGCAAGGGGTCCTAATAAGCCGCATAGAGCATTCGAGACAACTGACTCGGGAGCAGAAAGTAAATTCTCCGGTGTGAGGTATGGCGACACGATTGCTAGACAAGCGTTCACAAATTCTGATTCTCGGGACTTCATGAATGAGCATATGTTCTCCCACAGTAGCTGACTATTTTTGCGTAAAAAGGGCGTTCGCTCTCCAACTTGCTCTGGTAGACATTCCGTGTACAGGGCAACAACGACACAGAAGGACACGACTATCTGCAATATATCCGTTGTGATATGATGTGACCTCTCAGTTGAAAATGACTGCCAGTCCTGCAAGAGACTTTCGGATTTTGTATGCAACAAGTCAAGAATAATTTGATCATTTGGGTCAGGTCGAGCAAATGATTTCAACAGCAATGGGTCCCGGGCATTCCATATATCCGCACTGCCTAACACATCTTCGAGGTCAAACAGATAATTTAAGAGCTGCTTGTTTCTGACGAAGTACTGCCAACCTCTGGCAACAGTACTGTTAAGTCCTCCAGGTCGACTCCTTGGTAATGAAAGACGTCTGTTTGTACAAGCAAGGAGTACATTGACAATGTCCGGAGGGCGAGCGAATGATGCCGCTTGTGCTATATGCATACGATCTGTCACCGTCCCTGTTCAAATTCAGTGGATTGAGCTATGTCTGTGATGATTCGGCAACGAACCTATTGTCCACGATTCGCGAAGCCAAGACGATATTTTACTTGAAGCTTCCGTGACCAAGCCCGGGTTGATCTGCGCTGTTTTACGAATGATCGTAGCCCAGAGTGCTAGAGACGAATCGCACAGAGCAGACGGACCATTCAGGTTGCTAGGAGAAAGCATCGAATTTATTGACTGGATGACCACAGAGTAGTCTAGAAGGTCAAAGTGAAGAATGTTGTGCATGACATTGCAAGCTGCTCTGGATGTTGCTTGGGAGGTTGAAGCCCGAGACGCAAGTTCCCAAGCCTGTTCCCAGTACGACCTTAAGGATGATGAGCCTGCATTTGGACTACTTGCGATACTATGGTTTGGTGCGTTAGTCACTTTGCACTTCTAGTGCTCGCCGTGCCTGACGAACCTTGCAATGGCAACCATCGTCCATGTGGAGATGGCACTGTTGTCGTCAAGCATACTAGGAATCAATCGTTCGAGCAGCACGGTCTTCGATTCAATGCTCCGGTAGCAATTGTGCAGAAAAGGTAGTAACTGCAAAGCGCAGACTCTGCTTGCATTTGAAGCATTTGTGGATTGTCGGATAATATCGTCGAACATCGAGGTCAGGCGACGCTTCTTCGAGATTTTGACTTCAGAAGGAGTAGAGAGCCGCACAGCGATGTCCTCAAGTAGCTCAACCAGCTTGGCTGTAACCCACAAAATAGTCCAATTATGCTCGGATCTTGGGGCATCGAAACGAGGCCAAATGAAATATTCCTGCCGGTCAGTTGAAGTGCGACGGTGGAAAGATAGCTCGTCCAACTGCAAAATATCTTTCTCTGGCCGTTTTGTGTACTCTGTCTGCAGAGTAACCAGCATATCTTCAATCGTGTGGATTAGAGATTCAGACGGCTCTCTGTGAGCTGCGTCAGTCAGAGTGACCACACATAGCATAGATGTCACAATCATTTCATCTTTCAAGCCTAGAATCTTGGTGGGCCACAGTCGTTTGATCACTGGGATAAGGTTGAGCAACGATGTTCGAGCAAGATCTGACTGTTCAGGCAATACCTTCATCACGACTCTATTGATGCAATCAAAGGCGGCTTGGTAGCCATTTCCAATCAAAGTTGACGAGCCCAGAAGCTTGGTCAGCTCATAGAGTATCTCTTCGGCTGACTCGAAGATCGGAGCTGTTGGACACCCAATAAGAAGCTGAATACATGAAACAGCTTCTGTAACGATACTCGTGTTGGGTCTAGAATTTTCCCTGAAAGAGACCCTGGATGGTGTTGAGGCACCATTGGTCAAGGCAACAAAGCTGTCTAAAGTAGATAAGCGATGAGTTTGCGTGCTTTCTTGGCTGTCAGTCTCATGCGAGCCTAAAATACGTAGGCAGAACTCCAGAAGCTTGTCCCATTCATTGTTGGCGAGGTGTTCGAGGTGGGGAGGAAAACTCAATAGAGTAGTCAAGCATTTGATGTAGTCCACACCAAGGATCTCTGTAAGAAGAGCTCCGGGAGTTGACACAGTCTCCGTGACATGGTCAACTATCGCGCGGACCGACTTTGTCCGCAAATTATGCAAAAAAACATCAATGGCCGTGCGAAGGACGGATGCACATGATGACAAACGCGAGGCAGAGGCTCCCTTTGAGGTTGCGCGTGTATACAGGGACTTTTCCACTGAGACATATCGGAATAACGACTCAAACAGTCTGTGGCAGGCCTTGTCATTGAGTGTGTTTCTATAAGGTTACACACGTGCGTGTCAATCCACAATGTTCCCAAGACATGAGCCTGCAATTCAGTATGGGAATCTTGACGTACAGCTTCGAGCTTTTTCTATTCTGCTGTAGTATATGTTTGAGATCTATTCAGTGTCAGAGCTTTCGCTCATAAAAGTGCTGCCAAGGTAATAAAAGGTGACCGACCGGCTAGCCCATCTGACCGTTCCCTGAGCTTGTCAGATGCTAGAAGCGCAATGGCTCCTTCGAGGGTAATTTCTCCCATTTTGACGATGACCTGAGGTCTCCCAGAGCAGTGCGACCACCTTCATCCCACAATTGACGGGAGTGCATGCACTGGTGTGGTTCGATGACCCTGCATGTGAATCTGAAGTTGTTGTTCCTCGTGCGGCGGGCGATTAGATACTGAGTACGGAGTAGATAGTTAAACTACAGTACAGCCAGTATGGAGAAGGACTGCTGGTCCGGGCGGGCGCCGATGAGCTCCGCCCGCTCTTGACCGCCCGGGATTTTGGTCGCGTCCTCCGACCTTTTTTGGCCCGGACAAACACATCTCCCCCATCGTCCGCTTCGCTGGTGCTCGTCGCAACAAGTCGGCTGCTGCAAGAGCAAGCTTCCTGCCAGGCATGGAGGACACAGATACTGTTGCAAGCCTTCGTGGCTTGAATCAGGACTTGCAAAACCTCTCGTCAGCTTTCGTCGTCAATATCGAGCGTCTCCGAGTCGAATTGGAGACACACATTGAAGACTTCAAGAAGCTCCTCGACAAACCCACGAAAAACAATGCAAGCCGACAATCCGTTCTCTCGGGTATGTGCTAGCTTCTGGATCTCAATGGAACGTTTTTTGACGGAACCGTTCGCTTGTTCTGGCGCCAATGTGATGCTGACCATGTCTGCAATGCGATCTAGGGAAGGTAACCATCGGCAATGTCGAATACTCCATCAACCAGGATTTTCAACAAGGTGTACTCCAGCTTGCGGATAGTCTGAATATCGATGAACTCGAGGCTGCGTTCTTGTTCTTCGATGCGCAAATCGAGGCTCAATCACTAGACAGGCCCCTTCTTAACGTTGCGATCATGCGCTTTCACCAGCGCCGGCAGTTCTTGCTTGACTCGTTGCGCCTTATTCTCCAGGAATCGTTCGAGGTAGAAAGGGAAACAAACCAAATCATCATGCAGGAAATGATGGCTCACGTGGTTGAGATCAAGAATGGTCCTTTGCGAAATGCTTCGTTATACACCCGGAAATGCATGACTGCCATGATGGATGTGGAGAAGTGGCTTGCGCTCCTCAGCGACCAGGCTCAGAAGGCGACGCTTGTCGGTCAGATCGAAGATGCTGATACCATGGAACTGCTAGAGTTCCAGCGCAACAGCCTACTGCAGCAGCATGAAACGCTTGGCGCCGTTCTAAGCTACCTTTTTAAAGGCCCTTATACCAGCCCTGAAGACCTTCGAGTTCTCGTGAAGCATCTCCGGACCCTTGATCGCTTCGACAGTCTAGTTGTTCACTACATCCCGTGCATAGTATCTGCTTTTGAACAACACGGCTCCCCTGAAAAGTCGAGCTCCTATCAAGATGCCAAAAGTCTGCATAAGGAGATTGTCACTACAACGGTCGCTCAAGATTGGAAGCTGCCCACTTTCCATTCTGCAATCATTACACTCTGGCTTGCGATATTCAGCGCCTGGGACTTCGATGCTCCGTCCTCGCCTGTGCAGGGAGTGGACCCCGAGAAAGACGCAGATGAGCGTACAGCTTTGTTCATGACAGCACTGGATGACGGCGGACTCGATCTCCTGCTTACAGTCTGTTATGGTATCAATAATGAGGAATGGGCAGATCCAGCCCGCAGTGAGTTGATAGCTTTGCTTCTGAAAGAGGTTGCTTCAGCAATGCTCGAGCTAGAGCAGTGCTCTGAGTTTCTGAAGACTCTTCTAATGGAGAGCTTCGAGCTTTTCACTGAGGCCTGCATCGCAAACATGCCGGATGCTGTTCGCATGTTGAAAACCGAAGAAGACTCTCAACGGCTTGATCACCTCACAGCTCTTCGAGATGGCTTGACCTCCACGCCTCATCGTGGCGTAGTCGAAGCTCGCACACACCTTGAGTCTTTCTTGATGATCATGGCTTTCGCATTCGAACAACGGCCTGACGCCGCGCAGGAGTTTTGGGCCGATCCTGACTCAAACTTGTACGGCTTCCTCCAGTGGGCCTCTAAGCGACAAACCGTTCCTAGGGTCAGCGCATTCTGTGAACTGCTATGTTCCATCTCTGTAGGCGATGAAAATGCTACTGCAGCCCACCGATTTCTCTCCGAGGAGGATAAATTCCTTTCTGCTAAGTTCAAGCGGTCGACAGCTATGAACTGGTCACAGATGTTTGCTGAGCTAGATTTGTACGCCGAAAGAGTCACAGAGAAGCAACCAACATCACAGGCAGTCCTACGCTCGAGAAAGTTGAATCCAGCTGATATGAGTGAGCCCGAGAGTCCTGTGATGCTTACTTGCTACCTCAGGCTCTTGGAGCATCTGTGCAAACAGAGCGCTACTATCAGAGATTGGCTGCTCCATCACCCATCCTTCAACGTCGTCGGCACATTGTTGATGCTTTGCAGTGGGTCGGTGCCTACTCATCTGAGGGCCAATGTTTTCACAGCCCTCGCAGCTCTCATGACTGAACGAACGGCTCACAATGGAAACGAGATGTGGCTGTCTATCGATCAATGGATTTCCAACCCGAATACTGCCGGTGTTGCTAAAGCCCCTGTGAATAGCAATGCCTTTGCATGGTATGAGCAACAAATATTTCGGAACATTGGTGAGCGTTTCGATCAAGCCAATGCTTTCGTCACTCTGGTCTCTTCACTGGTTACGCCTACCCCTGAGTCCGCAGAATTCCATCTTTCATTACCCTTCCCGGAGAATCTCGGCTCTTCCTACCGCACGGCTGGCATTGAGCCATATGTTGACTTCATCATGGGCCACGCTCTAGCAAGAAAAGTCCCTGATATGAATGAGCGCCAGACGCGGTTGTTGACCCTTAATTGTTTGGAATTTGTGGCGTGCTGTCTTAATTCGTTCAATGAAAATCTGGTGACCGTCTTAAGTCAGCCGTCTGTGTCACCCGATTCTGCTTTTAAGTCTTCGACAATGGTGACATACATTCGTCTTCACCCCTTCGCGCGAGTTGCAGAATGGTTGTTCAACGAGGATGTCCTCAAGTCTCTGTTTGCCACAGCCCAACAAGATGTGAACGAGGTCGCTAGGGCATCGCCAGATTCCACGCTCGTCCTCTCCTTGCTAAGAAGCTTGAATGTCATGAATATGATTCTTGACCTTCAATCAACCTACTTTAACATTGTCAGACCGATGATCAGGTCACAAGCGGATGCAAATAGGACGACCGTGGCCAACTCTTCCCTTGCGGCCTTCGAAGACAGCATTCTGAACAACTTGACCATTGTACCTGCATTGTGTCTTTACTGCAGTACCGGACATGAGGAACTTACGGTCATGTCCATGACACTGTTAGAGAAGCTGTCGAGCTCCCCGAAGCTGAACAAAGTCACATCGCCTGAATTGGTCAAATGGCGATCCTCAAACAAAATCGTCGAGGTCCTCAGCTCCGAGCTAGACCTGGACAACCTAGCACGGCCTCTCACACATCAAATGGAAATCGATGATCGGGAACTGGAGGCCGGCGATAAGTCCCCGGCCTACATTATCAGGAAAAGCCTTCTAGCACTTTTGAACGGCTGTCTTGGATCAATAAGCGATAGGCCAACGATAGCCCACCTCCTTCTCGGTTTCAACAGCATAGGTAGTCTTCTTGACGTCTCTCCTGATGGCATGTTTGCCAACAAGATGTCCTTGCTGCATGCCATCATCCAGTTTGTACAAGACTTTCCTGGTGCAATGGATGGCAACATTCTTCCGTGGCTGGTGCAAATGAAGCGTATGGCGTTCCAGGTCCTGAAGAATCTTTGGTCATCAAAAATATCGTCATACTTCACACTTGCTGAGATGCGTGGCTCCCGATTCCTCGCCAATATGCTCGCTCTTCAGCCAATCATTGGACCTCACACGTCATGGGACGGTTTGCCGATAATTGCGGATGAATTCTGGCTAGCTGAGTCAACCTCAGCGTACGCGGAATTTCTACTCCTCAGAAGCTTCCTTTTCGACTACGCCGCCATTGAGATTCGCTCGGCTGCTAAGCTTGGAGCACCGACTCTTCAAGCTGAACTTATCTCCACCCTCTTTGGCACTTCAACGTCGGAGACAGGAGAGACCACAGTAAATCCTTCTGTGTTCGATCTATTCGACTTTGCCGACCTAGACGTTGCACGTTCCCTACCTATGCCTGATCTCCTTGTCCTCGAGGGCCTCGACTTTGATGTGTGTGCGAGACCAGAGGCAGACCATTCCTTGGTCCTATACAATATGGCCGAGGTAGTGGAGTTGATTCAGATGAGAAAAGAGGAATTGTTCGCTAGGGGACAGTTACACGAGGAACAATTTAATGCTGAGGCCGAAAGTCTCATGCTGTTCATAGAAGCAACAAACCGGCTCAGACAGATTACGTTCAACCGCTTCCTGGCTCTTCGATCCTGGGCTGAGCTTATCACAACCATGCTTTCCTCTGCAGAGATCGAAGGTGGCCGACGAACTACCTTCATTCTACACTCACTCCAACTCATTCTACCCAAACTTGAAGCCGCTATTCAGAATGATATGCCGGAGGCATTAGAGTTAGCAAGACTTACCGAGACATTGGTTAGCAAGCTGGAATCTTCGAGCTCCGAATCTCCCAAGCCAAACTTGAACAGTGCGCGCAGGGGTGGCGACGTGCTTGATGAGAAGCTTCACCAGATGTTCCATATTTGCGTGCGCGGCGTGATCATGGCTACTGGAAATGTCAGTCTCAGGGAGAGTCTGTACAACATATGTTCTCATTATGTTGCCCGTATCGTTTCCTCCAACGCGGCTCATGACCTCATCAAGAATCAAAGCCAGCAAATTATCAAGGCAACGGGCCATGCCCTGGTCGAAGCAATTTGCGATGACGCATATGCTGGTCAGGAGACATGTCGTGTCTCGGCGGTTCTATGCCTCAATCTTTTGGCAGTCTTAGATAGACAGACGGATCCAGTTTTGGTCGAATTGATAGCGCAGACGAACTATCTAAGCCTTTTCCTCGACGCAATCAGGGTTTTGCCAGTGGAGCTGAAGAACACCCAAGCAAGCGGTAAGCTCAAGTCCTTTCCTTGGCTGATCGCATGACTGACTGATCAACCAAACAGATACGCCCCTTCTATTGTCTTACTATCAATCTCTGTTGTCTTTGTTCCAGGAGCTGTGTCAAACAAAGGTTGGGGCCACGCATGTCTTGAGGACTGGGCTCTTTCAAGCCGTGCGTGAGTCGCAGCTGTTTGCCGCCGATCCTGATCTTGGGATTGGTGAGTACTTCGTTTCTTCCGCTTCTATGGCTTGATCTTATCACTAACGGATGCAGATATTGACAACACCGATGCTCTACGCAAATACTACGAGCTGCTTGATGCCTGTCTTCGGGTGATTGTCTCAGCGGTGTTTTCTCGTGGGCTTCATAACGAGCAGATGATGGAACAAACGCGCATATTCCTCACGGAAAACAGACAAGGCATGGTCGGCATCTTCAAACGCTTTGCTCGGATTAGCGGCACCGGTAATGCGGATCATCAAGGCACTTTGGGCAGCCTGGTCAAGTCTTACATGGCGCTCATCACCGCCACCGACTTTCTCGATGTACGTGCTGCACTTTTTCTCGATTTTCTTTCTTCCACTAACTTTGGATGGTTTAGTTCGAGGAGATGGAACTTGAAGAACGCACAGGGGAGCCGTTGTTCTCATGAGCCGGGTTTCTTGCGAGTCGGGTAGCTGGACAAGCTATGGTTCTTTTTTGATAAGATTTGGATGTATATGAATATGTTTTATCAGCCGATAGCGCGAACTTAACACAGCTCAGGAATGAGACATTAGAGGGGGGGATTCCACCAAACCAAGCTGGGCTGATTGATTAAGTAGCACAATGCTCCGAGGTAGATGTACACTACTGTATCATTCTATGAGGTACAGTACAATTTAAATTGTGCATAGCGGGGTTAGAGAAGGTGAGAAGGTACTTTACCTACAGCAAGGTATGGAGTCCTAACAAAATACGTATACTGGGGCCTGAGCCAATCATGTCTGCGACAATGAACGGAAGTATTATCTTATCTCCGGGGACTTTTGGTGGTTCAATCCAGCCCGTTAACGTAAGGTAGAAACCGAGCCTGTGACGCCCCTTCGACAACTTAAGAAACTACCACCACCACTTCACTCTCCCCACTTCACTTTGTTCCGGCCATCATCCTCCATCGTCGCACCATCTTGCCATCTTCGTCGTCTCCCCAGCAGTGTACGGTTGATCTCCAGAATTGACTTGAGAAAGGACTTGCCATGCATGATAGGGCTCGCCCGCACTGATTCTGGGTCCTTCCGACGCTGAGCGCTCCCATACCCTCACCACCTTTCTCCTCGGACAGAACCGGGTAGATGCAGCAGAACTCCAGAGGCGCCCCCGAGCAGAGGAGCGGTAAGCGCAAATCGATCGGTAAAAGAAAGCTATCCGATCCAGAAGACGCCTCGCGCCAGCAGCCCCAGCAGCAAGCGACCATCTCCGAACTTCTTTCACGCAATCACCACCCCGCCGCTCACGGCGGCAGCCGAAGCCATCACCACCACCAGTCCCCAACGACCAAGCGTCTGCGCCTGTCCCCCACCCTCCCAGGCACCTCCCACCCGCTAGTCAGTCCTCGAGAACAGACCTCGCCCGAACGGATGTATAACTTTACAAATGCGGAGCCTCGGTTAGGCGAGGCCATGGGCCAAACCGCGGGCGGGGCCGGCGGTGCGGCCAACCCTGCTGTCCGGCCTCGACCGTTCACTGCGGCGTCGCGCCAGGGAAATTTCACCCCGCACACTGGTGCGAAGCGGCTGGTCGTCAAGAATCTCCGGACCGGGTCCCGGTTGAACCCGGATGCATACTTCGAGAAGGTCTGGGATCAGCTTGATGCCGCGCTCGCCGCCATCTTCGGTGGCGGGAAGCCGGAAAAGTCGCTGGAGGAACTCTACAAAGGCGCCGAGCATGTCTGTCGACAGGGAAGAGCCGCGGCCCTGGCCAAGCGGCTCTCGGATCGATGTCGAGACTACGTCGCCGGGAAACTGCGCGAGAAGCTGACGGCGCAGGCGGCTGGTGGCACCAACATTGAAACGTTGCGGGCGGTGGTCGAGGCATGGTCGCTATGGCAGTCCAAACTGGTATGGTGACCAACGGGCCTCATCAGGTCGACGAGGAATTGAAAATCACTGACATCCCATCAGGTAACCGTCCGCTCCATCTTCTATTATCTTGACCAGTCCTTCCTCCTCCACTCCAAGGAGTTTCCCGTCATACGCGAGATGGGCTTGATCCAGTTCCGGCAGCACATCTTCTCCGATCCAGTCTTAGAACCAAAGATCCTGCAAGGCGCTTGCGACCTTGTGGAAGCGGACCGGGACGAAGCAAAGAGTGTGGTCGCCGATTCATCCTTACTCCGCAATGCCATCGATCTATTCCATGGGCTTGATATCTACACATCCGCCTTCGAGCCGGTCTTTGTTGCCGAATCCGACAAATTCTTCTCTTCCTGGGTTCAACGAGAAGCAGCCGGCTATCTGGCGACATTAGCGGAGAGTAGCCATAAGTTGATTGAGCGGGAGGTCAACCGATGCGAACTGTATGCTCTGAACCGAAGCACGAAACAGAAACTTGCAGAAATCCTCGATCGGACTTTGGTCGCTGAGCAGGAAGGGGTTCTGCTCAACCAGAAGGATATACTGGGCCTCCTACGGGCGGGTAACAAAGTTGCCTTGGAAAGGCTGTACTCCCTCCTCCAACGCAAAGACCTGGGGGCTAAGCTGAGGACCTCATTCAGCACCTACATCATCGAGGAAGGGTCCGCGATCGTGTTTGACGAGGAGAAAGAGGCAGACATGGTGGCGCGTCTGTTAGACTTCAAGCAACAGCTCGACGACCTCTGGAATGGTTCATTTCATCGCCATGAAGAGCTAGGCCACGTCCTTCGCGAAGCCTTCGAAACGTTCATGAACATGGGGAGGAAGTCTGCCTCTACGGGAGGAACCGACAACCCCAAGACTGGAGAAATGATCGCCAAATACGTGGACCGGCTACTCAAAGGCGGCTGGAAGCTGGCTCCTACACGAAAAGCGGAGGACATGCCGTTGGCAGACGAAGATGCCGAAATCAACCGGCAATTAGATCAGGTTTTGGATCTCTTCCGGTTTGTTCACGGAAAAGCGGTGTTCGAGGCATTTTACAAGAACGACCTTGCGCGCAGGCTGTTAATGGGCAGGAGCGCCAGTGACGATGCGGAAAAGAGCATGCTTTCGAGGCTCAAGACGGGTGCGTTTTCTTATTCTGAAGCCTTGCTAATCTATTGCGGGACAAGATATCGGGCTCTTACTAATGAAATTCAGAATGCGGATCAAGCTTCACACACAACCTGGAGTCTATGTTCAAGGACATGGATGTCGCTCGCGATGAGATGGCCGCGTACAGCTCCATCCAACGCGAACGTCGACACCGGCTCCCGGTCGATCTGAGCGTCAGCGTGCTGTCGGCGGCCGCCTGGCCGACATATCCCGACGTCACGGTGCGGATCCCCGCCGAGATCGCGACCAGCGTGGACGACTTCGAGAAGTTCTATCACACCAAGTACAACGGGCGGAAACTCAACTGGAAGCACCAGCTGGCACACTGCCAGCTGCGCGCCAGGTTCCCCAAGGGCGACAAGGAACTCGTGGTCAGCTCATTCCAGGCGATCGTCCTGCTCCTATTCAACGATCTCCCGGAAGGCGGATCCCTGACCTATGCACAAATCCAGGAAGCAACCATGCTGTGTAAGTGATCTATCCGTAGGGAGCACCAAACTCCCCGGCTAACTGCTTTGGATGTTAGCCGACCAGGAACTGCAGCGAACGCTCCAATCCCTCGCGTGCGCGAAGTACCGCGTGCTGGCCAAGAAGCCCAAGGGGCGCGAGGTCCACAAGACGGACGAATTCGCCTACAACCCAGGGTTCTCCGACCCGAAGATGCGGATCAAGATCAACCAGATCCAGCTGAAGGAGACCAAGGAGGAGAACAAGACGACGCACGAGCGGGTCGCCGCGGACCGGCACTACGAGACGCAGGCGGCCATCGTCCGCATCATGAAGAGCCGCAAGACTATCACCCACCCGGAACTGGTGGCCGAGGTGATTAAGGCCACGCGCAGCCGGGGCGTCCTCGAGCCGGCGGAAATCAAGAAGAATATTGAAAAGTGAGTTTGCCACAAACGATTCCTCTTTAAACACACAACTTCGGACTAACCATGCTATACCTGCAGGCTCATCGAGAAGGATTACATGGAACGCGAGGAAGGGAACAGGTACCAATATGTGGCCTAGAGCGCACGCATCCTTTCTTTTTTTTTTTTTTTTTGTTTGGCGCGTGGTGCTATGGTGTGCTGGTGTAATGATTTCAGCTTACCATATCCCCATCGTATTGATGATGATTACGGAGTAACCTTGTTAATAATCACTATGGCATGATCATGACCTGACCTGATATTCGGTGTGGGGAGTTCAGTGCAGTGGTGGTGGTGGTGGTGGTGGTAGTAGTAGTAGTAGCCTGTAGGAGGACGTTGGCAACCTTGAACCTGCCGCAGGTTGCATGGTCGAATAAAATCAAGAACCAACCCCTCCCACTCTAATTCGTGGAATCTTCTCAATGATCACCCATTAACTTGACTGAATCAACTGATCCGTCATCGCTGGTAAGCGTAGATCACGTGGTGAAGTATCGAAGCAAGTTAGCGACTCGGAGTCTGCTTGTTCGGACGTTAGCCACTACACCATATCGGATGTTGTATGAAAAGAATCTGTGTAAAAAAGACCGCTATGGGCCAAAACAAGCCCCAGACAGGAGAGGCAAAAAGATCGGCCGATAGAGCAAAAGAATTTGAGCTCCGATAGGGGGAATCGAACCCCCGGCTGCCGTGTGAGAGACGGCGATGTTAGCCACTACACCATATCGGATGCTGTATAAAAAGAAGTTGTGTGAAAATATACTATGTTCCAAATCTAACCGAGCCGGGCAGGAGAGGCAAAAGGTCAAGCCGATAGAGCAAAAGAATTTGAGCTCCGATAGGGGGGATCGAACCCCCGGCTGCCGTGCACCGAGCAATTGAGAGACGGCGCGTCCTGACACGCGGCAACGCTGTACCGCACCTCGGGATAGTTGCCTGGTCGAGCCAGTTCGATCGAAGCCGAAGACTCATGTGTTTATATCAGTAAGTTCCATAGTAGCCCCAAAGCATCCTGCGTGATACAGGCACTAATGATCACTAGGTACTATACTCATAGTTCTAACTTCTAAACAACCCCCTACCTCTCCGCAAGGTAAGCTACAGCTGCGTCGCTGCCGATATGGACCCGGCCTGAGGGGTTCCAGCCACCAGCACCGCGCAGCCAATTCTTTCGTCCGAGATATCTAACTGCCGGAGGAGAGCAAACACTTACTTACTGATTATCAGAGTCAATTCTTTCTATCCTGTCAAAAGGTTCAATACAAGAATAGAGTAAATGGTAAATCATTAACCTAATATAGAACGGAGCTATCTTGCATGCCACAGGACTGTATATATCAGTAGGATGGATGGACTGGAAGATCGATGCTTCTGTCTGTAATTTGATCCAAAAAACTAGATAGACAAAAAAGTCTATGACTAATTGCCTTAGAAGGCCATGTTTCCCTTTCTCTCTCTCTCTCTCTCTCTCTCCCCCCCCCCCTTCCGTACTGGTCATCGATTCTCCAACAGATGAGAGGGATGTTCGGATTGTCTTTCTGCCCCGCCGATATAACACACTCTTTGGCGATTTGCGATTTGCTTGAAGCATCGACGACAAGAACTTTCGGGCAACAACGTGATATTCCATAATATATGTATACAGAAGTCAAAGAACGGATTGCTATGAAGAACATTCAGCAGCACAAACGCTACTGCAATCGGAAGGACCTACAGATCGAGAGATTACTCCAATCGTTCATCTGCCGCCGCCGGTCTCCGAACACAATAATGGGATATCCGAAGCTTGCAACAATGTGCTGAGTGCATGAATCACAGGCCCATGATATGAGTAGGTAGTACATCAGTGGCCTGGCTTGTGGAGGCAAAAGTGGGCGGTGAACACCTTGGCCAGACTCGGCAGAAGATAGTAGCCGGCTCCATCAGCCTCAGTCCCCTCGCGGAGCTGGCACGGCGTGCCCGAGATTGTCACCAGTTCAGCGGTGGTTTTCACCGTGTAATCCGTGTAGAGTACAGGAAGGTTGAAGAAGCATGGTGGCAGATTGTCGATCGCGTACCCCGAGCCCGGGATGATGCTCGTGGAAGGACTGTAGGCCCCGTTGTAGCCTTGCGCGGTCTGGCACTGGAGCGAGCTACTGACCAGAGCCGGGAGGTTGATCTTATACTTATCATACAGGACGTCGAAGGAATCCGCCGAGAGGGGGTCGGAGAGGTCCGCGTAGTAGGAACCTAACCCGGGTTGCTCGAGGGTGTAGCAAACCGACCCCGCGGAATCGAGATTCAGCACAGTGCCTCGACTGCCGGGGCAGTTGTCGATCGAATCGCCGTTCGGGATGATGTAGACATTGGAGCTGGCTAGCATGTATCCCACGAGTGACTGTTGCATCGCGGCCATGAGACCAGTGGAAACATTGCCGCATGCCATATCAGGGTCTGCGAATCGACCCCCGGCGAAGAATTTAGCCATGTCGGTGGTAGAATATTTCCCATATAGATCGGCCGAGGTGTCGAGTGCGTAGTCCGGAAAAGAAGACAGATCACCTGTCTCGAAAACGGCTTGAGCCAGATTGACCAAGCTCGTGTTGTACTGCTGGACCACCACGGAGAGACGATCTGAGAGAGCAGTGCCCGGCTCGGCTAAGAAAGCATTGCTATCGGCTGGGTCGCTGGGGCTGTCTAAGACGGAGATCATGCTGAATACTCCGCCCAAAAGCGCTGAGAGAGAACTGGCAAAGGTACTGATTGGGCCGAGACCGCCACTGAGAATAGTGACCCCTGCGGCCATGGCACCCATGATCTTGACCAGATCTGCTTCGTCGCTCTTGGGTGTTAAATAGGTGGTAACATCATCAACCATATCATTGATCCCTAGAGACGTAATAAAGCCATCCTCAAATACAGACGTAGACATCTCGCGCAGACATCGCTGGAAGATAGAAAAGGCCCGCTGAGCAAAGAAGTATGGAACTTGGTCGTTTGAGACCGGGCAGGTATCGGGTAATTTGCAAGCGTTATCATTGGTGATATCTGAACAACCAGTGACGCCTACTGTGGTGTACTCGTTGAAGTAGGAATCAACGTTTGGAAGCGTAGTGGTCAAGACCGAGGAAAGATTTATTAGACGGCATGAGTAAACACATAGGTGCCTTTACTTACCATGGCTAGTTGATAACGCATGACGCGTCGTCTCGAATTCCACGGCCAAGCCAGCCTGACTGACTTCCCATGAAGTGACTGCCGTGTCGGTCAATGTCAACAGACCCTTGCAATCGATGGTGTCATCCGCGGTGGTATTCAGAGGCGTATACCGCAACACAGTCTCTTCGTAAGTGCAACCGCTGCCGCCATCACCCGGGACTAAAGGCAGAATCTGATAGTCGAGGTTGTAGAAACCTTCCGTGCAGCTGGAAGCGGGACATTTCCCTCCTGATGCGGAATATAAAACCGTTGTACCTGTTTTGGGGGCAAGTACCATGGAGACCGAGTACCCAGCATTGATATTCGGCCCCTGAGCAAAGTTCAGTCCGGCACTTAAGTCGGTCACCACAACTTGGTCATCAGTTGCTGTAGTGATCATGAGCTCTAAGTCGCTAGGAGCGTATCCTCCAACTGTATCATCGAGGACAACGGCCCAGTGTGTGGTTAGCGAAAATGTTTGGTAACCCGCTGGTTTATCCCAAAACGTGTATTCTCCAATTCCTTCGAAAGGGCAGGTATCGTCAAGAGCAAGCGTGTGGTACCAGATGGCACCCACCGCATCTTCTCCATTCTGAGGCCGCATATCAGATGGACCGGCGGACACTCTGAATACTGTGGCAAAGGACTAGATGATAGGCTAGAGGGCATTGTGGGGCCAAATGTCATTAGCATAGTTGTTGGGTGCCGCATCAGTGTTCTACTCAGGCCACAGGTTTCCAATATAATGTCCTTCCGGTCCATCATTCTGTGCTTGTCAGTGATTCACTTCCAGTAGCTGTGTGAAGCCTCAGGAAGAGCAACTTACCCAGGTGATATATTCCACAAACTCGAGCGCATCACTCTCAATTTCCAGAATATCATGAAGTCGTTGCATGAAATTTGTCTCTCCTTGGCGATAAACATTGGCCGAGTACTGAGATGCAATTAATAAGGTACTTAATGACCAGGGAAGAGGGGGATGTTCACCGAGTTCTTATACTGCATCAAGCTCAGGGCTATAACATCATGGTTAGCAACTGGAAGCCTCAATCAACGGGAGTGAGGAGAGACCCGCGAATCATGTAGGAGGCGCCCTCAGTCTCAGCTGCCTTATCGATGATCACCTGGTCGCGAGCCACTCCTCCAACGCCTCCGCTCTGGTCGGCGGCGTCTTGACCCAACGCTGGCCATGCGGATTCCCAACTGAACAGCCCGTCGGTGAGGTTTCCCCAGTAATACCACCAGCCAGCGTCACTCGACCAATAACCCTCGGTGTCGCCGAGATCGGGAATCCAATAGACATCATAGTCGCCACTGTTCTTCACGGATAACTTGAAGGCGCTCCAAGTGTCCCATGTGCCTCCACCGAAGCTATAAGTACTCACCATGTATTTGTCATTCACCTTGTAGTATGCATCATAACCCATAGCATTGACACACAGATCGACATAGCCTGCAGGGCCCTGACCACATGAGGGGCCCCCGGATGCGTACACATCCATACTGATGAAGATACCGAAGTCGTAGTGCTGGTTTCTGATATAGTTGCCCATCTCTAGAACAAGATTATTAGCCCAGCTATCCGTTGGGCATTGGACGTTCAGAGCATATCCATCAAGACCCATAGCAACGGCATCGTCCACGTCTTGATGAACATGATCGGTTGTGATGTTGCCGACCTAGAATCGTGAGTCTTCTGCTTTGATTGTGTCGATTTGCGGGGTGGTTTTGCTCACCATGTAGTGGGCAAAGACTGCACGGCCAGTAGTCGTCACTATATGTGCCGACATTGCCATTAGGCAAAGCAGCCATTCGAAGATTGACATTTTTGCCCTTCCGCTGACCCGGAGGCACAGCATGTTCAAGCTACTTGTTCTTTCTCGCGGGAAGAGCTACTAGGGCTCGAGAGAAAAAGAGGAGGAAGTTGAGACAGACTCGCTATGAGGCTGATGATGCAGGTCTGATACCTGTAGAAGATCGGGTCTTCCATGCTTTTATATCCATATCCATTGCGAGCAAGTGATGTTCTGGGTATGCCGCCACTTTTGGCACAGGAGCACTGCTAGTCCTTTTGGAGAAGAAGTTGGCGATATACGAAGCCTGGTTAATATGGATCTGGAAGTCCGGTACAGACAGTTTGCAGCGGACCTGACTAGACCTATTCGGGGCAGCACTTGTCATCTTCGTGCTAGAACTATGAGAGCTTCCATCTTAGCTTCCGTGAAGCTTTACCATTCAAACACTTCATTAGGGGACGAAACAAGGTTTGTGCTCAGCGGTCCCCTTTGGCCTTTGGAAACAAAGTATTCCATTTGGAGAAAGTCATTAGTGTCGCTACGGTGGGCGGTGGTAGCATGGCAAACAATCAATTCCACTTAACCCCTAACCACGGCTGGATATCGCTGGCTCATGGCTAACCACACGTGGAATATACAATATCAGAGCGCAGACCTTCGGCTTCGAGGGGCGATTTCAATTTCTTCACAAGACTCTCGCGGTAAACTACTACAAAACAACTAGTGTCCTTTGACTAGCAGACTCAGCAGGGCCTGCACAGTGGTTCGGTCCATGTAGTAGCCTTCTCAAGCGATGGCTAGGTGGTGGGTCGTGGCGTCCTACCTCGGAGATGAAGGTGAAAGACCTACCGCAGTCTGCAGAGTGCGGACCCTTTCCCCCTGAGCCTCAATCGACTGCTAATCTGATTAGGCCTAGGTGGTGGGCAGCGTCCGATTGTAATGATAGGACTTTGCGCTTGTAAGTTGGGGGCCTCGCCACGAGCGCGCTGCTACAGAGCCTCGAGGGTACGATGCACGGCTGCTGGTGTCTGGCTTCTGGGGATAACGCATTGCTTCTCTAGCATGCATCCTAGGTTGTGGCACCTTTGACGAACTGGCAGTCCCTCGGAGTATGGTCAAGATATCATTTTGCTTAAGGGTACTCCTTGATACCTGAAGTTACGCGGATGAGGCAAGCACGTTGCAGTCACCTAGGGAGCAAAAAGCATCAACTTCGTCAGCACCAGGGTGCGCACAGAGAAAGCCAATTTGTGGCATAGAGAATCAAGTGGTTAAAGTAGCCTTTCTCTGTTGGAACTTGTAAGATGAATTGAAAAGCACGAAGATAGATATCGGTCCGAAAGTGACTTGGCTTTCGGCGAACAACAACAACAAATATCTCAGCGAGCATATGGGGGTAATATAGCATGGCAACATCGAAAACCGAAAACGACTTGGGAGAAAAAGAATTCTCCAGGTCAGGTGAGTCGGCAGCGCATCCCGAGGCGAACATCCAACTCATATAATAGAGGCTGTCGCATACATGCACCGCTGCTGCAATAAGCTATCATAGAACAGCACCTAGCCTGGCAGGTGAGCCGAGTGGCCGGAAATGGCAACGTGGAAAGCGGTCCACGGTAACAGAAATTGCCGGCAGGGACGGAGGAGGTTCAAGCTGGAGCTTGAATGCACAGACGGGGTCTAGGCTATGCTTGCTCACCTGGAAAGAATTCTTTGTTCACGTGGAAGGTCGGATTATGCATCAACCTTACGGCGTTACGGTGGACATGCAATGATTCTCACTTTCCGAGTATTAGTACGAACTGAATAGGAAAGAATCGTCCGATTTAGGACGTTGTACGCGCCCCCGCACTATTCCTGGGATTCCCGCTGCATCGATCTGACAGCGGAGCCTTTGGAACTATTACTCTTCTGCCGCCCTTCCAATGTTTTCAAAGTCCCATGATCGGGTTTCTCCTGCAGGGGAGGGGCTGAAATGTTGGGACGTCGATGTGATGTGGTTACTACTAGTACGTCTAGATCTTATGCATACCAGTTGTCCGCAAGATTGTCTCAACTGGCAACAGGTTGCAGAATTATATGCTGGATTGAGACAACCGGGCATGCTTGACGTGCTTTGCGATACATTGTGGCTCGAATGATCAATTGTTGCACAATAAACCTGTATCAACTCGCCACGCCATTGCAAGATACGGGACGGAGTACTCAGCAGAATCCTCCGAAACCAGAAGGATTACGCACCGGTGACATCGACTGGATAAGCCACCAAATGAAGTCGCCTTGACGATTCGCCGGTTGTTGAGTCTGTCATGAAATGTCCCGTGCAGTCCGGAGACAAAGTACTCATCATACTGTACAGTCAGTAGGTTAATGCTTCAACCGACTAGCGCATCTGCTGCTCTGCAGGGCCGAACAACTCTTTGCAATCTGCATCCAGACTCGGGTCGACTTCACTAGGTAGAGGCATGTCGCGGGCAAGATTGGCGGGAGGACCGCGGAATTCCCGGAAAGGGTAAGCCGAAGCGCTTGTCAAGATTCCAGACCCATGGGGTAACGTTGGCGGGGCCGTAACAAGGGGAAATCAACTCCCAATTGCCAGATCCAGAACCCCGGCATACGATCCTGGATCCATTGAACACATAGGTCAAGTCATGCGAAATCACTTGTTCATGTGAGCAGCAAAAAATTGATTGTCCACGGAAGGGGGACAACAATTGGGAGCATTGAATGGACAGAGTGGGCAAATCGAACTATTGGGGAAACAGGTTACTGCGTCTACTCCCCATACCACTGCTTCTTACGCCATGTTGAAGTCGCGGGTTGCTCATACTCGTTCTCTTCGCAACTGGTATATAGCCCGGCTGTTGCGCCCTCATCCTTGGGCCCATTCCTGGTCCAATCCCTTTTCTTTTGGTTGATTCTCGTGTAATTGTCACTTGGTTGGTCTCTTCAGTTGGCCCAGGTTATCCGTCCAACTGATCCCGAACTGTCTATTCATCGGCAGTTCTTCGTTCCGCCTCTTGTCAAGTGACTGCAACTGGTGAGTACTGCTAAGCCAGGATCCTCTAGGATAATATCTCAATGGTTTCTCTTTCCCCAAGCTGACAGTTGCCAGACCCAGTAGAATCGACTTCCCCACTTCCCCGCCTCATCCGGCCTGAATTCCGATCCCAACCATTGCGCCTCGACCAGGTTCGCTGTCGTCGTATTGTCGCACAATCGTGACGCTCCGTCCTGTAAAAGGTTCGGCTCCGAAGGAAGAGATCAAATGATCATTGCAAAGGCGTCTTAGATCCCCGAGACAGGTTATATATCAAGAAGACCGTGCGCGAGTTCAACCATCCCGCAACCCCATACTTCGACCGGTTCCACTTGCGAAACGGTTCGTCTCCATACGCATCTTAACGTCATACTTAACTGGAGATCGTCCATCAGACCTTCCACAACATGCAAAGTAGGTTTCACACCCTCATACGATCTTACATAGTCCTCTGGAAACTCGGTAGCCTGGCTGGTTTGCTAGGAGCCCCCATGCAGGCCCAAAACCTGGTCCATGGTCATCCTGAAAGTCTACACTAGATTGTTCCATCCACTAACACTAACGTTGGCCCGTTAGCCAAACACTTCTTCTCGGATCCTACCCATTTGGTCCAGACCGCTCTGCACTCCCTCACCCTCACAAACCCATCGGTAGCATTCGACCCTGAGAACAAAATTATCTTCCGTCGGCCCAATGTGAATTCAAAGCCTAAGGTCGCCATTATATCGGGTGGTGGTTCTGGCCATGAGCCTGCTTTCGCAGGCTTCGTCGGGAAGGGTTTCCTTGATGCTTCCGCAGCCGGTACGATCTTCGCTTCGCCCTCGGCGGAGCAGATCCGCAAAGCCGTCATGGAATGCGTCAACAGCGACCAGGGTGTGCTCATCATCCCCATGAACTACACGGGCGACGTGCTCAACTTCGGTATGGCCACGGAGAAGTCGCGGGCTGCTGGCATCAAGACTGAGTTCTTCGCTATCAATGACGATGTCGGCGTGGGCAAGAAGAAGGGAGGCAAGGTCGGCCGTCGTGGTATCGGCGGCGGTGTTCTCATTCTCAAGGCTGTCGGTGCTTTGGCTGAAGCAGGGTTAGTTTTACGCCTTCAACGCGACAAGTCCTTGCGCAGTGGAACTAACTTCAGCATAGTGGCTCATTGGAAGAAGTGTATCACCTGGCTCAGCTAGCGAACAATAACCTCGTATCGGTGGGGTCTTCGCTCGAACACGTTCATGTTCCTGGCCGGGGTGTTCCTGAAGACACAATCCCGGAAGGCGAAGTCGAGGTCGGGATGGGCATTCACAATGAGCCAGGATCCCACCGGGTGAAGGCGAATCTGGTTGAGTTGGTCGCCAACATGCTTCTCCAGCTTCTGGACCACAATGATCCCGACCGCGCTTGGGTCACTCGCAAGCCTGAGGATGACTTTGTGTTGTTAATCAACAACTTGGGTGGCGTTAGCACATTGGAACTTTCCGGCATCACGGACGAGGTCTACCGTCAACTCGACAGAGATTACGACGTCCAGCCGATCCGAGTCATCCAAGGGACCTTCCTCACCAGCCTCAACGGGCTGGGCTTCAGCATCTCCTTGTTGAAGCTGGTGGATACGGGGCTGGGCCCCGGCCGGTCCTTCCTTGATCTCCTTGATGCACCTGCAGAGGCTGTCGGCTGGTCGGCCCCCATCAGCCGGGAGACATGGAAGCATCGTACCGACGCTCCTGTGGAGATTAAGAGGACTGCGTTGGCGGAGGACAACCCAAGCAACGTGAAGTGTAAGTGGCCCAGCCGATATCTTGTTCCCTGCACCGTCCTCAACATCACTAACACCCGACAGTGGACGTCAGCATCCTGAAGAAGGTCCTCAGCAGCGCTCTCAAGCGCGTCATTGCCGCCGAGCCCGAGACCACGCGCTTCGACACTATCGTTGGCGACGGCGACTGTGGCGTCGGTCTGAAGCGAGGCGCCGAAGCCGTGACGGCTCTCCTGGAGAGCG